ATATTAAAGATCAAGCATTATTTGCTGATTCACTAATATTAATTCACATGCTTGTTTGCTTGATGGAACAATTACATTAACAATACTAAGATTTAATTATGATTTCAAATTAATTAATAATAGTCTTTTTGTCACTAAAAAACCTAGCAATGAATACAAATGAATAACATCAGGAAAATAAATCTCATGTAAACCTACGTAGGGTTTAAAACTGACCAGCATTATGCGGAAATGTTAACAGAATTACCAAAATATCGACATAATGCTGGCCAATTCTGAACCCTACGTAGGTTTATGTAAGATTTATTTTCCTGGTGAATGAATGATTTAGAATTATGCTTTTTGAATTATCTTGAGGTTTGTATTCATATTGAACTGCAATAATAATATCTCCTTCACGTCATAATATATCAAAAAAAAAATATATAATAGGATCCTCGAATGGAATTGGAATCCAGTACGATTCCCCGACAACCGTTTCTCTAACAGGGTGTTTCCCCGACAAGATGTTTCCCCAGAAACTCAACAATGACGCGATATGATCATCAAAGAAATATTATTAGAAATATCCTGTCGGGGAAATATGCGCGACCCGCATCTTGATTCATTAAATTCTAAAATTTAATTTAATTTATCAATTCTAATAATCCCTAAAAAAATAAATTTCTAAATTGGAAAACTTTCGCAAGACAAAAGTAACAGATTATTATTTTGAAGCTATGTATATGACCACATTTGAATCGAGAAAATTTTTTTATTAGATTAAAATTACTAAAATCAAGAAATCTCTTAATTTACTTTTAATTCTGCACAATTAAATTTAATAATTCTGTTGTATGTGAAATTGAAATTATGTAATTGAAATATTATGGAGTGGGGTGAAATTCTGATTGGCTAATTTGAATTTCACATATGTGAATTGCGAATTCACATAATTTCATTTTCACGTACAACAATTCTATTAATTCCATAAAATTAATAACCTCCTTATAAAAATGTCTCAATAACCATCTTTGTCTTTCATCTTTTAAAAAGCATATACATATTACTGCTGAACAAAGACGCGAATTAGAGCAAACTAAACCTTAACCCAAAAAAAAAATGATTTAACGTAATGTGATGAAGAAGTTAATCAAATATCAACTGATGGGATATCCTTTTGTACTAAATGTAAGTGGTTAAACTATGCCTAATGTTTCAATAAATGAGGCTTTGGAATTGCATTTAATCTTCTTGAATAAAATAATTTGCAAGTAGATTATAAAAAAAAAGTAAAATAATATTATTTGTCAATCATGTTCAATCATTCTCTTGTTTCTTGTTTCATAAATCCGTTGAAACGAGATTTGATTGTGTATGTTACATATAAAAAGCAAATATTCAGGTCTAAATTTTCAACTAATTATAATCATTATGATATAGATATATATTAAAGAACTCAATCTTGGTTTGGGGGCCTTATACCCGATTTTTGTTTATTATCAGTAAAGATTTATGAAAAATATATAAAGAAATTATAATAACAACCTATCCAACATTATATTTATTTTTAATTTTTATCAATTATTTGAAAGATTTCCAATTCATCAAATTTACCACCATTTACTATATTGATATTGTTATAAGTCTTTGGTATACTAGTAATAATACTATCTTTTGATTTAAACCAAACATCACCATCACATCCAAACATAGGTAAATTAGCAGGATGACACCCAATTGCATGCTTATAATTATTGTTAATGACATAACTAAATTGTGCAGTATTGATAACATTCCTATTGCTTATATTAAAAATAAAACTTTCATTTGTATTTTTATGTGCAATATTATCCCAATTAAGTGGATTATAACCACCAACTATTTGCTCCGAATTTCGTATTTTGCCAACTACAAGAGTTCTGTTGACATTATTGCATTTTTGATGAAATTCGGTTGCTTTTAAACCATCTCTACTACTACGGTATAGAAGCTTGAATACATATTTGACTTCCCTGAACAAACTATATGGTTGATTTTTCCTATCAATCCAACTTGCAAAAAGCAAAGTAAGATTTTTATTGATTGTCAATGATTCAAGCATTGAACCTCTTGATGGTAACAAACACAATCTTTGTTGTCTATCTGGAAATAAATAATAGTGTGAAATATCCTTCCACAGTGCCTTAGGAAAAAGCATTTGATATGGCATAATTTTATTAAAAAAATCATCTCTAGAAATATCCTGAAATCTTATTAGAGAAAAGAATTCTTTTAATGTGTTGCCTAAATTAACAAAATTTTGTGATGACCAATCTTCAACATTGTTATTATTGATTTCTGGATGTTTTGCTAATCCCCATTTAAGAATGTTTTCCCAGATAACCATCTCATCAACTGAAAAATCATCCCTTTTAAAAATTTCCAATAGAATTGATTTCTCCAATGACTTAAATTCACTTGATTGAAATAATTTTTCACTATAATCACAAAGATTTTCTAGATAAATATTTTTCAATTTATTAAAATTTTTGTTGGCATAAATCAATTGTAGAATTTTAACTGGACTTTCTTTCATATATTCTTCATGATTTTCAATAAAATATTTCATCATAAATTCATAAAGTGACTCAATACCAAGTTCATATGCTGCAGTTAATAATTCTAATACTTCAGCTCCAGAATAATTTTCAAATTCAACTTTACATGTATATAAAAATCTTTCAATTAAATAAATCATCATCATTATATATACATATTACATAATAGCAAATAAATAATAGTTTTGTTTAAACTTACTTGAGAACAGGCTTGAAACATTTTTCATTAATACTAGCTTTCTTAATAATATAATATCCATTTTCTTTTGTTGCACCACTTAAAGCATTGCTAAAAAATGGGCAATGAGCTGATATGATAGATGCATGTGCATGAATTTCTTTAACATTTGGTTCTAAACCAACATATATTTTTACATCATAAAAATCTTCAGTATTTAATAATCTTTCATTTTCATTAAAATATTTTTCAAATATTGTTGAATCCATTTTTTTCTTTTTTTTTTATTTCAAAAAGTGATTAATAATTAATAATAATTCATATTACATAATTGTAACACAATCTGTATATATATATTCAAAACAAACGCGAGTTTTTTCTTTATCACCTACACGATCTTGGCTCTCATAGTTAGAAGATGGAGTATAATGTTGATGATATTTTAAAAGCATTTCTGAACGCAAGTTGTACACTACAAATTCTTTTTTCTGAGCTTGCAAACTGTTAAGCGCAATGGCAATCTAGTCAATAATAATAATAAGTTGCTACCATGACCCATTGCTTTCCTTGGAATGTAATTTACAATGTACTCAGAAGGTTTCTTTCGTCTTGTATAAAACATTTGCTAAATTACATCCATTTATATGTATTTTTAGGCTAAAAGAAGACGAAAAATCAAAAACGAAACATATTGCTCCCAGGGTCGGCAAATTGGCTGGTCTATTGAGAACTGATGGACTTTGGACTGATCATTGCCATTAATAAAATACTAAATATGGTTAAAGTGTTATGCTAATGGACCCAATAGACCACCAATGGATCATCAATGGACCGCACATTTGCCAATCCTGGTTTGGGTAGTTAACAAATATTTCTACTATTCATTTACCTCCAAGCAACATTTATAAACCAAATACAACTTCATTGGGTAATTGCTATTTTTTTTCCAGTGTTTTTAATTTATAGACGTGACTCTAATATATTCAAACTTACAGGATCGAATATGATATTGAACCCACACATCAACGTCTTGTTGTTGAGGAAAACACCTCAAATAAAGACAGGGTAAAAGGAGATATCGTTGTATCCCACTTTCGGATATCCGTCTGGTCATGTCTTTAGAAATGAGTGGAGCTCCAAGAAATATTTTAAAAGTTAAAACACTCCGAGAACGAATTGACTCTTTAAATTCTATTTTTTTGAATTTTCTAATTATGATGCAAGGTTTGCGGGGAAGATTTGTTCACTAACTATTCAAGGCGAATATTGTTTTTGGTTGTTATTCAGATTAAAAGCAGACCATCATTGATTTTTTTTTGGTCCATTATATAATAGGAGATCATCTTACATTAATAACAATATTTTAAAAGGAAGCTGATGAAGAAATATTATCTGCGGCTTTTCCACTTAGCTAGGATTTCCGATTTCAATTTCGTGAAATTTTAAAATCATAGAACATATGATATTATCTGCATAGAATATCACAATGTTGTTAAAGAGCTGATAAAGCACCCGGAAAATTCATAGTAAAAAAATCAAATTTCCCTCTGCACAACAATTATATAATAGTAAACAGTGTTAGAAATTTTGTCCAATTGGACATGACAATATTTTCAAATAATAAATGGAATTTTTTATATTTCATTGGGTCAATTGACTCAAAATATTAACTAGTGCATTCAAAAATATTCATTGCATATTTAAAATAAATAAATTGTTGTGCGTGAAAATCAAAATTTGCGGTGGGTGTTTGAATACAAAATTCTGATTGGCTAATTTGAATTTCACGATTACAAGTGTGATGAAAGAAAAATGTAAAAAACACAGATTTGTAAATTACTAATTGTCAATCTTTGCACGAAAAGTTTTATTATTATTTTTGCACCACAGAATGATATTTTTTTATATATGAATAAAATAGTTTTATCTAAAAATTAATATAGTTTAGTGTAGTAAATACGATTATAGAGCTCTTGCACAATAAATTTGTGACTTTTTTTCACTGATTTATTCGCGTAAAGGTGTTAGCCTAATTTAGTAATAATTGTCTTGACTAAATTTGCTTAACACATAACTAAATAGTTTAGTCAGCTTAGCCAAGTTGCTCATTTGAGTTACGCAGCCAGCCCTAATATATTTAATTAACTTTTTTCTTTCCATAGATTCTAGATAAATAAATATTTCTTAGTATTAATAAACATTGAATAAAAAAATACTAAGAAAGAAAGAGTGAATATAAATATTTACCTAGAACTTTTTAGATAAGTTTTATACTTAATAATTTCTAAAATAAATTTTCTAATCATTTCATCGTACTCTTCTAAACTAACTCCAATAATTGATGGGAAATAAGTCCTCATGGGTTCTATTGAAGCAAACATATTTTGTCTGAGCTACATAATTAAATAGTATAAAATAATAAATATTATCCATTTGCCATTATATATTAATTGATTAAAATTACCACCACACAAAAATAATATATCTTACCATTTCACCAGCCATACCATGACCACTTAATGGAAATTTTTTTGCTTGATGATTAATTTCAATTATTTTATCAGAATTTGTTAGTTTTTCTTCAATAGATTCACAACATGACATATTCATACCACGTGATTTGCATAGTTTTGTAACTATAATTTAATTGATAGTTTGTTAGAGCTTATTAAGCGGTTTAATAAATAGTATTAAATAGTTTATTAAATGGTTATTTACGTTCAGCAAAAAAAATTTCTCCCAATGGACCAAAGGAATATGGATTTTGTTCATATTCCTAATTATAACGAAGTCAATAATATAAACATACTTTCTTTATCACGCTATAATATAACCCATTCACTTTCATTATTATAATTACCACAAATTCAATCCAACCACCAGGTTTAGTTATACGTATCAGTTCGTCAATTACAAAAGGCCATTGATCAATTTTTAGCGCAGTAAACATATGTTTTTGATGAACAAAGTCAAAAGTGTCATCTGGAAATGGTAGACCATCAAGTATATTATGTTTAATTATTGCCATATTTGTTGGTAATTCTTTTTTGATATCTTTCAAACTTGCTATATCAATTCCAACAAATGATGACTTTGGAAATTCCTCCGCCATGAACATTAACCAAGTTGCAGACCCACACCTGGGAGAACAATTTATAATTATTAGGTTGTCGTAGAAGAAGCTTGGTGACTCAATTAAAATCAACCAACTTAACTTACCCAACGTCTATTACAGATGCGCCACCATTCTCTAATATTTCTTTCACGGGAGGAGAAAATTTACTATTCCATATATGTTGTGATATAACTTCTAAAATTTCCATTTTAGACATTGACTATAAATAATAGGAAGTTTTAGAAAGTTTTGGGAAGTTAACAATTAATTAACTTACAATTTACCTTGTAATCAACAGGCAAGAATGCACATGATTCCTTTATATTAATAAATGTTCTGCCATCAACAATTTTAAAATCATCACAATCATCGTCCTTTTCTTCTTTGTTATTATGATTTTCGTTCTCTTCCATCTTATTATAATGATTTTCTAACGGATGTGAAGTTTCATTAGCCATTATTTTTTAATTTTAATTTGTAGTATTAATTTTTAACTTTTAAAATTTTGAAAACATTAATTATTCAAAATGAACAAATTAATAATTAATTGTGGTTGCACGTTTTGTTGATCTTTGATCTACATATTTCATTGTGATTTTCATTTGTTTGATTTCATTTTTTACCAGTAATAATAATAATGCAATTTTTCTTATAGTTAGTTGTACTGGTTCCTTGTTTCTTTGCCTTACTATGCAATTGCAATTCTTTTGTACTCCCAAATTTTTCTATTCGAGACTTTTTTAAAGATAAGTAACTACTTTGCCACCACAAAAAAAAAAAAAAAACAGGTTTAATTCCTTAAAGAAATTGATCAAGTCTTTTTAAGAATAACTCGTAATAATTACCTTTTGATATATAGTTGATTTGATTTGTTAATTTTTAAAAATAAATGCTTTTCTTAAAAATATAAAAAAATAGATTATTCATTATCATTATCAAATAAAAGATCAGAATCTTTTTTAAAACAATACAACGAGATTTTTCATGTTATTTATGACCGCAATTAATCGTTTGTAAAATAATAAATTTAATCTTTTTTTTTATCCTTTTGTTAGATTGAAATTAAAATAAAGATAATGTTGTAGGATAACGCGATAATAATGGTGACAAAACCTCCACGACTGATAGGTAATCATCAACAACCATGTTTATTATTGGAGATATATAACCGTCTTTTTTCTCCTTGATCAATAAAATAATAATAATAAACTGATAATTTTTTAATTGACGGCACATTTTTGAAATTTATTTTTAAGAAAATTTATTTTTTAAAAACATTTTTTTAAAATAAACTATCACACAAATAAATTGTTTTTAAAAGAATGACTTCTATTCTATCATCGGTTGTATTCGTCAAGACTGTAAGTGACGAGAAATCTTGCACGGGCACTATGTACAGCAGAGTGGAGAATGAAGAATTGTAAAGTTAAACTTTAAAGCGTTTCGGCAGTCGTGTTGATGGTTGAAAAGTTCCTTAACGTTGGATCTGAATTACTCGTAAGAAGTTTTTATGGTCGTTCATTGTATGATGGATGCTGTTTGCATACAATATATTATTAATATGTATCTCAAATGGTGTTATTAAACGTGCGTCAAATGATGTTTTTCTTTGCGTAGATAGCTGTCGTTCAAGCGACTTGAGAGCCTTAAACGAGGAATCTGACACAAATGGTCTGTTAATAGTACCTCTGTTTGGCGCATTCTCTTCCCCTCGCAAAGCAAAAAGGGGGTAGCGTCAGCAAAACTATTTCATTATGTTCAACAGATCGATGATCCTGTGCATCTATACAGTCTTTAATGGTAGGAATTCGGCTGTAGCTGTAGCAACAAAGTTATCTGCGATAGCGGGCAATCTTCTCGGTAGCAGACAAGCTCTGCATGGGAAAGAAATTATATATAGGAAGATTGAGTGGTCTTACCCCAGTTCGGCGCAAAGCAAAGCCCCACAAGAGAAAGAATGATGTTTGTTAAGATTCAAACTGCTGATCATAGGCAAAAAATCTCAAAAATCATCAACGTTATCGTTGTCATTTTCAGCACTGTCGGATACAACAACAACAACAACATCAAGCTTGCTGTCGTGCAGCTCGTCGAATAAAAGACCATCACGAGCACCATGCGACAAACAAGAAGCAGCAAACAAAAAAAGTGCCTTGTTACTTCTTTTAATGTATCAAGATCAGAAACATCAATCAATGCGATAGACTAGGCGAACAACAAGGGCAAATCACCAATGTAGATGGAGAGGATCTTTCCGTTGAAACAGGAGATAATGTTGCGGTTCGGGATATAGATTGTGGCAGTGATGAAGAAACTTCTTGAATCTGTTTACTTTGTTTTTAATTTTATTTTTAAAGTTTAATAAAATCTTTGTAAAAAATTTTAAATAAACATGATTCGATGATTGCTATTGAAAGAGTGGCAAATTAACAAATTGTTGAGCTAGGTTGTATGTAACACGTTGACACAAGTTAGCCCTCCTCTATTTGCCGAATAAGTCATTCATAACTATATCTGAATCATTGAATTGTAAGCTACACCATTTCAGGCTTTGTGCCTTGAAATTCTGAAGTTCGTCCATTGCGATCTCATACTTTCAACATACACTAATCGAAACAAATAAATATCAATTGTTTAGTGAAAATTCAGCATCAATTCTAAAGTTAATGATTTTGCAATAATTGAAAAGTTGATTATTGTATCAATACTGGAAATAATTAATTACCACCCTAGACGGAAATTAGTTCTGAACGATTCCATTTTTAAACGTTTTTATGTTTCTTGTAACTTTACACTTTTATTGAAATAGATAATAAAAGGCTCGTATTTAATAATCGCCAAAGAGTTTGAAATAATCTCCAAAAAGTAAATGAGGGCCAAAAGAGAAGAACCTTACTCTTTACACTAAATCCTTATTTAAATAATAACCATAATGAACTAGGACTTTCCGCAGTCAGTTCTGGATCTCAAAATATTGCAAGGTAACCTTTCTGTTAACACTAATTTTTTAACAATTATAGCTTAACTTTGGGCCACCCTTGTCGGTTAATTGCAAACAATACGCATTTGTCAATTGATTAGTTTATTGGTTCTTGCTTAATGTCTCTTTCTTGTGCCTAGAAAGTTTCAGCAGATCTATAAGCACACTTGATAGTGTAGGATAACTGTAAATAAATAAATATGACTCTTTTACAAAGCTCAAAAACTCTATAAAGTTCCTTTTATTCACTTACTATTCTTGTTTATTTTTATCTGGCCGATTGCAATTTATTTACAAAACAAGCAGCTTATTTAACAGCCTTACATTTACAATAACACTAATCTTTTGGTTATTAAACAAATAATTTTACCAATCATTGTCAACACTCACTAGTTAACCAATGTTAGTCCCAACTTTTGCTTGTTAAACAAATAAAATATGGCCCTTTACCAAAGTTCTCTGCTTTAAACAAAAAATAAAAGCAATGTTTTTATTTTTTAAAAATTTTATGTTAATGTGGTATTAGTTCTCTTCAAGTCATTTAAGATTAGTTCAACTAATCATGTTAATATATTTAATCAGCTTTTGTCTTTCCATATATTCTAGATAATTAAATATATTTTTTAGCATTAGTAAACATGGAATAAAGAAATACTAATAAATATTTACCTAGTAATTTTTAGATAAGATTTATACTTGATACATTCTAAAACAAATTGTTTAATCATTTCATCATATTCTTCTAAACTAATTCCAATAATTGATGAGAGATAAGGTCTAATTGTTTCTATTGAATCAATAATACTTTTTCTGTACTACAAAATTATAAAGATTATCTATCTATTGGTCATTATGTTAATTTATCAACAAAATATTATTTTACCATTTCACCAGCTATGCCAATGCCACCTAATGGAAAATTTTTTGTCCGATGACTAATTTCAATTATTTCATCAGAAGTTGTTAATTTTTCTCCAATAAATTCATGAATTCCATCTATTATATCATGTGATTGGCATAGTTTCACATCTATTATTTAATTGATAAAATTTATTAAATGACTTGATAAATAATATTAAACAGTTTATTAAATGGTTATTTACATCCAGCCAAAATTTTTTTCCCCAATGGACCAAAGGAATATGGCAAGTATTCATATTCCTAATATGAATAACAAAGTTAATAATACAAACATATAATCCGTCCACCTTCATTATTATATTTATTAATAATTACCACAAATTCAATCCAACCACCAGGTTTAGTTATACGTATCAGTTCGTCAATTACAAAAGGCCATTGATCAATTTTTAGTGCAGTTAACATATGTTTTTGATGAACAAAATCAAAAGTGTTATCTGGAAATGGTAAACCGTCAAGTATATTATGTTTAATCATTGCTATATTTGTTGGTAATTCTTTTTTGGAATCTTTTAAATCAATTGCTATATCAATTCCAACAAATGATGACTTTGGAAATTCCTCCGCCATGAACATTAACCAAGTTGCAGGTCCACATCTGGGAGAACAATTGTAATCGATCTATAATTACTAGATTGTCATAGAATTCAATTAAATATTATTAAAATCAACCAATTTACCCAACATCTATTACAAATGCACCACCATTATCTAATGTTTCTTTCACAGGAGAAGAAAATTTACCATTCCATATATGTTGTGATATAACTTCAAATTTTTCCATTATAGACATTGACTATATGAAACAATAAAAATTTTTAGAAAAATTTTAGGAAATTAATAATTAATCAACTTATAATTTACCCTGTGATCAACAGGCAAGAATGCACAAGATTCCTCTACATTAATAAATTTTCTACCGTCAATGATTTTAAAATCATCATAACCGACATCCTTTTCTTCTTTGTTACTATAATTTTCTTTCTCTTCCATCTTATTATAATGATTTTCTAACGGATGTGAATTTTTATGATTTTTGGTCATTATTTTTTTTAAATTTTTAAATTTTTAAGAATTGAAACGTTTTTTATTTTGCTTATCTATAATATTCGTACAATGGGATATGTTGAACAAACATTTATTGTTGTGTGTAATGTTTAATATAAATATTAGAACTCGTTATTGTTTTCACAAACAAAAATCTTCGTTTCAACAAATCATAATAGTAATAATAAAAAAAACATCGTTTTTCGTATTTAAAGATGCCAACTCATTTTTTGAAAAGTGGTTGACGTGTTATCCATCAATGGTCCATATTTAGTATTTTATTAATGGAACACCGAAACTCATAATTCAAAACCAATTGTTTAAACAAATTTCAATCTCCGAAATAACCGAAGAATCATTTCTAATATATTCGGTGTTTTACACAGGAAATGTCCGTCAAATATATTAATATTGATACTGTCCGAAAATGTCACGCAACAATTAGTCATGGGGACGTATCGCTCATTTCTTTAAGTGTCCCGGACTTTTGATATTAATATGTCCGGGACTAGTAGTACAAACCACAAGTTAAGCCTTTACCACCTTTATTAATTCAGCACATTATTAGAAGCAATATTAAAGTAAACCAAAGGAATTCAAGTCCTTTTTTGTAAAGCAAGTGCTGAAAAATTAGGAGGGGAAGAAAAAATGGTTTCCAAACAAAAAAGATCATCCATTATCTAAAGAAATGTCCTGATTTTAAATTACCGGTTTTTTTGGTTATTTATTTGTTTGTTTATTAGATAATGTATAGTGCCTATCACAAGTACATATTCAATAAAAATACCTTTCCTAAAAAGGATATTCGGCAAGATAGAGAAAACTTTTTGAAATGACCTAATCATCATTTTGTTTATCTTAAACAAAGCTATAAACTGACGATTGGATTTTTCAATCAAGTTGCATAGAACCTGAGATATATCATTTTAAAATTCAAGCTAAATTACTATGTTTACTACGATTGTATGCAAATAGTTGGCCAATTTGAATCATTTGAAAACTTGAATATCTTATTTGAAAGATAATCAGGGTTTTTAAAAAATGAAACATGCGTCATAAATATTTGGGATCAGCGCACATAGTGTACAAATGGATTCAGTTCATATGATTTTAGTGTAACCTAACCTACATATTGATTATAGGAATCATGATTTCAGAATCATCAGGAAAAGAATAATCATCAGAAAATAAATATTTCCTAAGTTTTGATTCAAACAAAACCTCAATACTATTCATTAGCATATCAATTATTATAAGTCAGTGACAATATCATCATCACATGTAAACTAACTGTCAATGAAGTGTTAGTCGACGAAATGTGTGTCGATGAAATCAACTGTTGACGAAATGTGTGCCAACAAACGTGACCGATTACAGTATTAATGAATATATAAAATACAATATTAGTATAATTTACATGTTGTTATTATTATCGGTTATTTAAATTTCCTACAACCAATAATTTATTGTCACCTGATTTTTTTTTTGAAAGGTTTCTTTAAAACATCTAAGGTTTTCTTGGATGATTGTTTACTCCTTTTAAAATTTTTTTGAAAAGCAATTTCAATTTAAATAAAAATCTCTATAAAGTTACATCAAATAAAAAACAATTAGTTCGCCAGATCTTTCTTTCAAATCTATATGTGGGTTAGTTATTGATAATAGAATCAATGATAATGAAGCATTTATTTTTTTGTAATTTCTTGATATGAACTCAAGCCTGCTAAAAAGCGATGTCTAGAAAGGCCCACAATTTGATTTGTTGGAACCCTAATTTTGATAATTGAACTATACCAGTAATTCTAAGAGAATGGTTTACTATATATATGACTTTTACCACAATAATTACATATACCTTTTAATTTTTCTTTCTCTCGATATTTATTTTTGATTTCAATTCTCAAGAAAAACAATTCAAATTCAGTATTTGTTGGTCATTTGTCTTTCTTATAATACGTGATATCATGAACAGGTATACACAAGTTGTCATTATCTGATTGTATTTCACAAACTTGACTTGAATTTCCAGACTTTTAATAAGCAAATTAAATTATTATTTTTTCTTGTAGTGCCTGGTCAGAATTCCTTACCTCAATATAAGTTCCTGTTGTTTATATTCACAAAAAAAATATTATTGTTATAAAACGCGTAAATATATCTGTTTCTTTAGTATGGTTCAATTTTGGATTTGAAAAAATTGAAAATAAGCCTTTTATTTTATTTTCGATGGATGAACTGGATAATTCAGAGAGTAAAGACAGAAATTTGATATAAATTTATTTTTTTAAAATTAATTCGTTTGGTGATAAACATTTTCATAAAACACTTTTATTAAACAGTAAGGTTGGGTTGTCCGTTTGGTTATCAGAATGGTATAGAACTTTGTGATTTTGGTTGTTTTCTTGGTGAAAGCAATGTTTTTGGTCATTTGCTTTGTTATAAAGTAAAGGTTTGATGTTTGGTTTTTGTTAAGCGTAAACGTCTTGTTTAATTTTTTTTAAACGGGTACATAAGGTGATAAGATTGATCGGAAAAGCATTAGTGAACAGTTATTACTGATTGATCACCTATACATAGAGCTAACAGTTATTGACAAAAATCATTATCACGTATTGATTATTGTGTTGATATTAAAGTAATTGTTGCGAACGTACGCCTGATTTCAATCTACCAAAGAAAAATCAAAGTAAAGTAAATAAAAAAGGAACTCTATACGAGCCTTTGTTGCTTTGTAGAAGGGCCATCTTTATTTATCGTAATTCGTTGTTAATTGTGCCATAAAGTGTGCTTACAGATTCGCCAAAAGCTTTCAGGTGCAATAAAGAGGCAGTAAGCAGTCTAATTTTGTAAAATAAATTAATTGACGAGCATCGAATATAAAAGCTTACTAACTCGAAACTCTCGGCCATAAACGTAAAATAATCGAGGTTGACCAAATGGCTGCCCTCGCATTATTTACAAGAAAAATTTATATTTTTCTCCGGGGCATTTAAAGTGGCGGACAATCCATGTCCGATGGCAATACCGGTTATCTTTCCATGAATTCCATCACCACAGAAAATTTCATAACTTGATGGTAGTGATGTTAGCAGCTAAGGAATTTTTAAACGGCTAACATCACTAATTTTACTTTCTGTCCGGTAACGTTTTCTCAGCAGTTCTCTGTTATCTGTCTGAGCCGGCACGTTCCCAAGATATTTACTTTCCTAAATATCCGCCTCGGTTCTTTAGGCTTTCCTATTATTGTTGCTTAGCCGCGATCGGATTGGGCTTTGTTTGTTGTATTTTAGGTTTAATACCTGGACTGACCATACCTAGCTAGGGCGTTGGCCTAAGCTAAATAAAAATAAAGAAAACTAAATTAAAAGAAATATATACAACTGTACTTATCAAAGGCGTCCCCCTGGTAATATAGTAAAATAATAATAATATAGTGTCGGATATAAAATGAGAGAATATGGTTAAGCACGGGATTAGTATGTATTTATTGTTAGTTATACATTACGAAAATATAATATTCGTCAAGGTCAAGGTCAAGGTCAGTGTTATTTATTATGATGATTAAAAAGATATTAATGATTATGATGATATTAATGATCATACATGAAGTTAAGAAAATTACAACGTTATTTATATACGCTAAAGGTTCTATCATCTAGTTCTCCGATTTCTTTGAAATCCTAATTTATTCTAATTAAATGTATTACTTGAACCTTCTGTGTAGAATTATTTTCTAAAGTGATCCAATCATTTAAATTCCTTCGTTTAAATTAAATCTAAGAATTAAAGGTATCTGTTGTTTGAGATATTTTCCGTGAGTCAATTATTTTATTGATGATTAAATAAAAATATGATTTGAATCCTTGAACAGTTTTTCCAATTTTATTTGCGTGCAACATTTCCGATTTATTTATTGATTTCCTGTGATATTAATATGTAAAATTACTATTTTACAATCATCATATTATACATATCATTCATTCAATGGATTAATGTACAACATCGATTTGCTTAATATTAATATTAATTGACGATAATGACTAAATTTTGATCACTGAAATCCTTGATATCAACCAAGAAATTTTATATATATATAAGATCGGGCAGGGCTAAGATAACATAGTAAGTTTCTTATTTTTCAAAATGGCGACTACACCACAAATTTCAAACATATTAAACAAAAAAAACCTATTATTTTATGTGGTATTATTTCATTGTGATCATTTTCAGCAAAGTAATAACCCCTTCAGTATGGAAGTTCACATAGTTCATAAACGAGCGCACTTATATCATAGTGTATGCTAAAAGAGTAGTTTTATTTAGAAAAAATTTATAGAAACATAGTAACAACAACACGGAAAACGATCGGCGTAGATATAAAATATTTAACCTAAACCTTTAAATGGCGACTACTTCTATAGCTTTCTCTCTAAACTTTTATTAAATAAAAAATTTTTTTTTGGATTTCCATGTTTTTTGCCATTTTTTCTGTTCTGCATAAATTAATGTGATATAATAATAATAATGTAACATAATAATAACAATTTAATCATTAGTAAATGTGCCCCTGCGAATTAATATTAACATTATTATTATTAATATTAATATTAATTTGCTAAATTTTTGAACCCTGAAATTTATTTGTGACATAATGTTCACTTTGTTGCCATTTTATATTCTTTGATATTAAATATTAATATTTTCTTTACTATTAATAATTAGACAAAAAACCATGTTGAACGCCGAAGAAGTAAACAAAATTAAAGAAGATTTAAAAGTAGTACTTGATAAAGAAGAAGAAGATGATGTAAGCATCTGACAAATTCACTACTATTATATAAATAACATCAATAGACACATCATGTTACGGTTTAACGATTAATTTAATGATTCGTTCAATTATTTAACGTTTATCGCTTATCTAAAGGCTTTAGAAATTATGAATAGACTTGATAAAGAATTAGTTTATAATAAAGAACTCCTAAAGGTATATTATAAGCTTTTTCATGTATACATTATATTATCAATTTATTACATTGTATCTCTTATATGCACATTATTGTTCATTTAAATATATATATATTTATAATAATCAATTGTAACTGTAATAATAATATATAGGAAACGAAAATAGGAGTTTTTCTTTCTGAAATAGGAAAAAATAATAAAAATAAAGAAATTTCAACTAAAGCAAAACGGCTTGTTAAAAAATGGAAATACCAGTACGAAGAAGAAAAGGGAAAAAAAATTGACAATGACAATAAAAGCGCTATCAGTTCACATACAAACAATAAACCTATCAATAATAAAAAATTATTGAAGAGAAGCCATTCAGAGCATGAATCGACAGGCTCTCCAACTGACACTACGCCATCTTCTACTAATAGTTCCTCTAACACAGCTGAAATCAAAATCTTAAAAAAAGCTAGAACTGCTGTAACCAATTTATCATCAAAACATAAAGACAATGTAGTAACTACTAATAAAATCATAACTAAAACCACAACTACCGTTGTTACAAAACAAACAAAAAGAAATATATCACAATCGGAATCATCCGGCTCACCTGTTGATTCTCCAACTAGTACTACTGATGATACCAATTTCATAAAGAAAGCAAGAAATAATACAATAAGATCCACACCAACTAAAACTGGTTCTACTGATACATCGCCGCCACTTTCCACCACCGCAAACGAAGAACGAAAATTTGAAATTGAAATTGATAGTTATGAAGGCTCTGGCGATAAAACTAGAAATACATGTGTAGGATTATTGTATAATGCCATGGCATTCGATTCTACGGCATGTAAGTTGGTTATTATTTAACTTTTTTATTAATTGTGATGATTGTTAATCCTAATCCTAATTATTTTAATATAATACATATATAGCTTCAGAAGTTCTCCTAAACAGATCCGAACGAATTGAATCCATTGTACTAAAGCAAAATAATGGAAATCCAGCTAAAGAATATCGTGATAAACTCAGAGGATTGATACTTAATTTAAAAGCTAAAAATAACCCAAAGCTCAGGCATGGGGTAGTTGATGGTACTATCACTGTGGAGCGTTTTTGCACAATGTCAAAGGAAGTAAGTATGAATTATTATATTATTAAATTATTAAAAATTTTATCTACTTGCATTGCTTGTATAGGCCTTTTGTTTAATATTTTTTTTCAAAAATAAAAGGAAATGGCATCTGAAGAAATGCGAGCCCGTGATAGAGCCATTCAAAACAACAATCATTTAAAAGCTCGTGGTGCTGCACCACCTAAATCTGAAACAAACATGTTCAGATGTGGTAAATGCGGAAAAAGAGAAACAACTTACTATCAGATGCAGGTACACACCAAAAAAAAATTTTTTTATAAGGTTGATCAATTAAAAAAATTATAATTAATTATTTTTATTCACTGATAATAATAATTAGACAAGGTCTGCTGATGAACCAATGACCACCTTTGTTACCTGTGTCGTCTGTAACAACAGGTGGAAGGTAATTGATTATTTCACTTAATTATTTAATTGATGGTTTGATTGGATTGATCTAATTAATAACCTTTATAAAATTCAACGTTATATTAATTCAATTTAATTTTTTTTATTTTGATAATAGTTTTGTTAGATCTTTGTGCTTACTGTTATTGGTATTGGTGTTGCCAGTCATTCCTTTGAACTTCTATATATTTTTATTTTTACCAATTATATAATAATGATGATAATGATAATGATGGTGAATAATATGGATAGTATTAGTTGATAAATTGATGGTGATGATTTGGAATAATTAATTTATCATTTTATCGTATTTGGTGATTATGATTAAATAACTTTTTTAGATTTTTTTAAGTCACACATTATTTATATTGAACATTGTTTTATATATAATATATATATATATATATATATATATTTAATTTAATTTTAATTTATTACTATCAGCTATTATTATATCTCTACTATATTATATCTATTAAATCTGATATCTAATGTTATATCTTATTAAATCTGATATTTTATATCTCATTAAGTCTGGTATTAATAATATCTGTGATGTATTATTTAGATTGGCAATAGAACTACAGTCGAACCCTCGTTATAATGATAACCTAATTAAATGCGCAAAATTCGTTATAACGAGGTTTGACTGTGGGTATATAGAAAACGGTTTATTTATTTTTGTGCTAATTATAAATTAAAAAAAAAAAATATTTATTTTCAACAATTAATATAAAAAAATTTTATTCAATCAAAATCTTTATTTTTTATTTTTATGCCAAGATTCATAAAATAGTTATTGAACATCTAGAAAATTTTGGGATAAAATTAAAGATTATTTAGTAAATGAATTACACTATGGACCATTTCTCTGAATGTTTCTAATTCTGATGTAGTATTTTCTATTAATTTTGGATAAAAAATAAAAGCTCAATAGCACGTGGAAATAGAGAAATCCCCCATCTTCCTGTTATATTTGTAAAACCGGGATTTTAAAGAAATCCTACAAAAGTTTTAGCATGTATTAGTATTAGTATTAGTATTAGTAGTATTAGTAGTATTAGTAGTATTAGTAGTCGATTAATTAGTCAATTAAAATAGTCGACTAAATAGTAATAGTAAACTAAAATAGTCGACTAAATAATCGATTAAAATAGTTGACTATTACTATTTAGTCGACCAAGATGGTCGATTATTAGTTGTCCAAAAAAAAAATTTAGTCGACTAAAATAGTCAACTAATTAGTCGATTAAATTATAATTAGTATTAGTGAACTATTTTAGTTGATTGATTCCAACCTCTAATCCTATACTTTTAAAATTGGCACTTTTATTAGGGAAGTATTGGAAAAGGAATTAGGCGAGGAACAATTAAAACAGCAACTCATTAAAGGTTATCAAGCCCAAGCCAAAAGTAAAAAACTACAAAAAGAGTTTCAGGAGGTTTCACATCTGACTAATTTTTTTAAAAGGTTATGTACTCATTAATTTATTGAAAATGGTAACCAATTGTTTAGAAAACATGTTAAAACATTGTTATGCCATTTTGTATTTTTATTAAGAAGCAAGCTATTATATTTATATTATACAATTTAATTTTTAAAGTGTTAATTGATCGAATAATAATAATAATTATTATTATTATTATTCATAACATATTGATATTTTCACTTAGAAAGATTTCTAATACTTTCAATGCCTCATCTCCTAATCCAAGGAAAATGACATTCTTACAAATCTATATTTTTTTTTTATTTTTTTTTTTTGGTAAAAAAATTAAATTTAATTAATTTGAAAAATTTTTACACAATCCACATAAAAGTAATTACCTCTTCGAAATTATTTTTATTCATGGCCGATAACCAGATTTGATCGTTATGAGTATACAACCAATTGATTATTAGTTCAATGGTGGAAATTGATGGAATTGGAATTGTGACTCTTGTTAAATAATATTTGTTGGACCGAATTGGACAATGGAATATTGATGATGAAATATGATAAAATATCTTTGAAAACAATTCGCTCTGGCATGACAAATAATTACCATATCCAATCATCTCCAAATTATTATACTTTGATGACGATGAAGTGGAAGTTGTTGGAAGTGAATTTTCGAATTGATGTTGATGTTGTAGACAATAATTATAATGATTACTATTATCGTTATTAATATGATCCATCAATTCCCATAAATATATCTTATTTCCAGAAGAATTTTCATTCGTGTTGCTAAAATTATTACTAATAAAGTTATTATTAAGGTGACAATTGTTCCATTCAGCAAAACTGACAAATTTGAGAATTGTACATTGTTTAAATATTTGTACACCAATTGTATTCATCTGACTAAGTAATTGATAAAACATTGATATCGATAAGTCTCTTGGAAAATCTACTTCAATAATATCTGTGATACGATCACTTGGCAACGATAATTTTTGATTGATCAATTGAAGATATTTAGACATAATTATTCCACTCAATTCCTCTTTCTCTTTAGAATTGGTAAAGGGCGAATTGGAAGAATTGGAGCAAGGTGATGTTAAGGATAAAGAGGAAAATCCAGTGTACAATGATGACGAGAAATCCGAAGTTGGAGTTGACGAAAAGGATTCCAAGGAATCTGAAAGTACTGGTGAACTTGATGATGTGGAAGGAGAATGATCATCATTAATATTTAATTCGTTTTTTGGTGAACATAAATCATCAGACTCAAATGTCGCAGATGATGAAAAAAATGGATTTTGACTTCTATCAGAATATTCCATTTTCCAGAGAAAGATATTATTTTTGAAGGATTTTTTATTTTGAAAAATAAAGAAAATTATATGGCATGCGTATAGATTTAATATGATTTTTTATAAGCTCAGGAGAAACTTTTTTTTTTTTTTTTTGATGAGTTAAGAATGACGAAGTTTGATATCTTGATTCATTTGATCGGTACTGAAAAATACATATTTTTTAAACCCGTCGCATGTTGGTATCCCACAATAACACATAATTTGACCATCTTTAAAGCTTAATAAGGGAGCATCAAGTGTTTATCTGACCAATTCTATATAGTCGAGTTATAAGCTTTTAAAAATCATGTGATTTTTATATGATATATAAAATTTTCTTTGAAACATGAATTTAGTGAAGCATACCAGTAAATTTGGATATTTAATATTAATAAATATCCGTATTAATAATGATTTTATACTAATACTAAACTTTATCCAAACCGGAGCTTAATCCATATTTCATTATTTAATAATGTCAAAAAATTCAACAGAATTTCCAAAAAAGATTATTATCTCATGATTCATAATTAAATTATGTTAATACTAAAGTGGTAAAAATTCAATCCAAACCATTTTATTTATTTATTGAGTCATATGTTTATAAATTTCAATTAATAATAGTGATGAAAATCTCGGATTATTAAAAACTCATTCATAATGTCCATTCAAAAATTGTATGTAACCTTTCTCCAACTACAAATAATGTAATGCATAAATTCTTCATGTGTATTTATTATATTTTTTAAATATTAATTAGATAATAATAATAAATGAATCATTAAATAGATTTGGTATTTCAGATTCATCTGACACAACATTATTAATTAAAGTTGGTGAAGATCCAGATAATGTACATGCATACTTCATAATAGTAATAAATAACTGTAATTAATTATGCAAATTGTTTTATTGGGTAAAATCTCACTTGTCAAAATTAATTGAAGAAGAAAATCTTCATTAGAAAGAGATTTCTAAATTTACAGATTTTAGCTCAGTGTGTTGCAAAAAAAAACCGGAAATTTATTTTTATTGGTTTCTCAGTAATAGTTGAATAAAAACATTAAACGAAAGCTGAAACAGAGGTTCCTATTGGTATAAAAGTTATTTTAATTGCTTTCAATGTTAAGCAATAGTTTTAAAATTTTGGGCATGGGCACCGGTGCCTAATAAAAAAAAGCTGGGTACTTGGGTGGGCATTGGCTCTGACACGGTGACAATGGTGCCTGACATAGAACCTATTACATGTTTATACAAACAGTATTTTAACTAGTAAAGAAATATTACTTTATTTCGGTTAAGAAGTACGATTTATTAAAGTATTACTACTTTGTTTCTGGCAGATCGTTACGACTAGATTTTTTCTAAATTTCTTTTAAGCCATGAATGCACATATTTTTTAAAATGTGCTTTGCTAGTATTGTTCGAGTATTGTTTCTTTCAACGATGCAGACATTGCCAAACATTTTGATTATCATGCAACACCTCTATCCAATGTTTCTTTGGTACTATATGATTATTATCTTTTTTTGTGATACTATTCTCTAGTGAGTTATTTGAAATAGAGTCGTCAGAATATATTGTTGTCAAATATTCCATCAGAAAGCAAACAAAATAGTGAAATGCGAACACAAATGTAAACACGAAAGTGGAATAGGTGGACACAAAGGTAGCGAAATTTAAGTCTTATTGTAAGTGTTCTGTAATTTAGAAATATTTTATTATATAACAGAGTTCTATTTAAACTATTTATCTCCCCATTTTGCAAAAGTATACTAAAAATGTCATAAACTCATAAAAATATCCAGCGGGCAGGCAATGTCACAGGGTAGAAGCATCGGTGCCAAATAAAAAAAAGACGGGCACACTAGTGCCCAGAGTGTTGCCATTGGTTCCCGGCATGAGCACCTGCAGAACCCTAATAAATACTAAACTGTGTGCTATAGTAACTTTGTTATTGGGTCAATATGCTTTAAAAAAAACTCGTAATTACATCAAAAACAGTTTCTATAAACTTAACATCTTTTATTTTAAGTGTAGCTGTTCTATTTCCGGAGTCTTGGTCATTTAAAAATCTCCATCAATTCTATGAATAATGCCACGTCTTAAACAACTAGATGGAGAGAATAATGATAGGTAACAATATGAAAATATTCTTTAGAATTCCTGTATGATGAGTTATAACGGTGTATGTAAAAGCTTAATGAATGATCTTTTAACACCCAATCACGTGTGTAAATTTTTTAATTATGCAATCTTATTTTATTCGTCGATTATTAAAAGTATGCGACAATAATGTAAGTCAAGCAAAACAAGAGTTACGATGGATTACTCAACATGTGTTAAATCAAACAAAAAATAATTATTATAATTGCAATAATATTCAACAACTTGATGAAAAGGAAAAACAAACTATAGCATTGATGGTTAATGATCGAGTAGAAAAATATAAACCACTACAATATATTCTTGGCACACAACCATTTTGTGATTTAGAAATAATTACAAAACCACCTGTTTTAATTCCAAGGTTGGATTTTTTTTTTTTTTAGTTGCTTATTTTTGCACTTAAAGTTTTTTAATATATATATAAATATGTCGAGAGTAGATGGGAAACAGAAGAATGGACAAACAGACTAATAACAAAAATAAATTCAAGAATATTCTCAAAAAATCAAAAAGGAATCAAGAACAATAACGATATTAATAGAAATGGTTATTTGGATAGAGCAGAAGGAAAACAAATAGAGATTCTTGATATTTGTACAGGATCAGGATGTATTGCATTAGCATTGGCATCTAATTTACCGGATAATACATGTAAAGTTTATGGAATTGATTTGTCAGTTGAAGCGTTGGAACTCGCAAATTTAAACCTTCGACAACAACAACAATTGAAAAATTTTGTTGATTTTTCTAAATTAGATATTTTAAATGATGAAGACGAAAAGATTAAAAGATTTGTGAAAGAAAAAAGTCTTAATGGACTAGGATTTAATTTGATAGTTAGCAATCCACCATATATAACTTATGAAGAATATGAGGATTTAATTCCGGATGTAAAATTGTGGGAAGATAAAATTGCTCTAGTGGCAGACGATCAAGGAACTCAATTTCATAATAAAATAATTTATTTGGCTAGCAAATTATTGATAAATAGTGATGATAATAATGATGATGATAATAATAATAATAATAATAATAATAATAATAATAATAGTGATGGTGAATTATTATTACCTCAACTTGTGATGGAAATTGGTGGAAAACATCAGGTTACTAAAATTATTGATGAATTGAATAAAAATGGTTTCAGATGGTATGAAGTTTGGAAAGATTCTAGAGGTGTTGATAGATGTGTTGCTGCTGCAAGGTTACAGTAGTAGTATTTATTTTACTTTTGATCCTAAGTAATTAGAATAAATCAAATGATAGTTAATACCCAAATAAAATAATTTTAAGTTATATGATAATTAAATTATTACATACGTAAATCTTGAAATCTTTTCTCTCTAAGGCTATCAATAGATATCAATTTATCACATATATTTATTATTTCAGTATCATTATTATGTGATTCTTCTGAATTCATATTTGAAATACACTTTAATTCACGTAAAAAATTTGCTAAGGTTTGTAAACACCCTAAAAATAAAATACAAATGTAAATGTTTATTTACAAATGCCTATAAATAACGGTCTTGAACATCATTATTAAATATTTTTACTTGCATTTGCTATTTGGTTCAATTTCTAATAATTCTCTTATTGATAATATTTCACGCTCCAATAATTTAATTTTTTCTAAATTTGATAATGTAATTAATTTTAAAGATGATGATGTTGATGGTGATGACGATGGTGATTCATTTTGAATTGAATCTTTTGAACCATCAAAACTTGAAGTAGCCTTAATTTCTAAAATTTATATAACAGCATTAATCATAATTGTAATAAAAATAATAACACTAGTTGCAATGATAAAGATCCTAACCTCCACCAACCAACCACCAATAATATAACCAAGCACTTTGGTCATCTGGATCTGTATAAAATGCTGACTTGACCAGATCAAATTCTTTTTCAAATTATTTTTATAAATTAATCAATATATATATATATGTATATACCAATAATAAATAATGTTAATTATTACTAATCAATTATTACCTTTATCAATAAATGTTTTGATTTCTTTTGAATTGTAATTCCTTTCTTCAATCAAAAGTGGTAAAAGCTTGCTTCTCTGATGCCATGCTGAGTAATTGGAAAAATTTTGATTTATTTTCACTGTGGTAAAATCAAATTCTGATTCAATGATTGACTTGGAGTCATCAACTGTAGATGATAATTTTGATGTGACATATCTTCTATAATCCCATCCATGAACTATTCAAACATGTATTATATTAAATATTAGATGATATTATTATTATCACTTTTATAATTAATTACTTACAATTTCTTGAATCCATATCAAGAATTCGACCAACAATTTTCAACTCTCTCTCCCAATTAGGATTTGACATTGTTTCAAGACACCATCTACGATGATTAAATATCCAGTAAGATTTTGGATTTAATTGAAAGATTTCTTGTAAGAATCCTAACTCTGATTCTAAATGTTTTTGTATTTCTTCATTTGTACTGTCCAAAACAAAAAAATTACTATTAACATTATAATTATAATTATAATTATAATTATAATTATTCTTATAGTTACCAGCTAATAAATACTCCATTCAACAATATTGTTCTTCTAAAATTCCAAATGCTATAAAAATCTGGATTTTGTGATAAGATCATAGTTGTTATATTTATTGCATCTTGATCATATTCTAATTTATCTCTCTATTAATAAATAAAAATAATTGTTAATTTAATAATCTCTTTTAATTACAAAGAAAAAAAAATATTAACCTTATCAAAGCATTTCTTTACTAATTCATTATATTCTTTGATTTTATTTGCTTCTTTTTCTCTTCTAA